GTCGGGGTCTACAGTTTGTCCAGCTCAACCTCCACACCACTGAAGTACTCATACGGATTAAAAAATATGAAAAAGAAAGAAAATCACACTGTTAACAAAACAAGGATCTCTTAAAAGCAAAGCCAATCAAATTTTGACGAGATATGACATGGCCACAAAAATTGGCAAGCCTCGGGAGGAAAAAAAATCGAACCGGCCCATTATTCTAGTGAGCCATTATCCAACTGGTTTACCAAATGACGTCAAACGGGCCGACCAACAGCCTGACGGACAAGGCCATGGCATTCGGCCTTCAAACACCACAGAATAACCCAATTAAGACCCACATGGTCCCAGGTAAGTAAGACATAATAATACCCCCCCCCCCAACAACTTAAGGGCCCATTAGAACTGGAGTTTGGGCTGCTGATTGGAAAACCAGGTAAGCCCAGCCCATTTCTAACCTCCAAATGGATCCATATTATAAGACTACTAACAATAGATAGAAGACAACCTATTGGCTTAATGTTGTACTATGTTCAGAATCTTCAGATGTTCCTTCACGTCTAACTGTTCTGACAAATATATTAATATAACTTACAACAAGCAAATCCTGAATCTGGTCAACAAGCAAAATAGCTAACGCAAGTAACTTAATCCTGCTGAATCAGGTCATCTTTTCCGCAATCATACTTCACCCACTCTATGCGATGGAGCACCTCACGCAACAAATGACTTTACTGACATACAACCTCTGCTCTAGTTGAAAATAGCTGAAGCAAGACCATCCCCCATCTANATATATTAATATAACTTACAACAAGCAAATCCTGAATCTGGTCAACAAGCAAAATAGCTAACGCAAGTAACTTAATCCTGCTGAATCAGGTCATCTTTTCCGCAATCATACTTCACCCACTCTATGCGATGGAGCACCTCACGCAACAAATGACTTTACTAACATACAACCTCTGCTCTAGTTGAAAATAGCTGAAGCAAGACCATCCCCCATCGACTACAAACTCTCGTGCTCGTGCCTGTAGTGGTGATGGGGGATGGTCTTGTTTGGAATCCAACAGAGATAAAAGGAAGAGAAAAACTTGAAGAAGGCTTGGAGAAAGACGAAAAAGTTGTACTGGTGGTGGAAATTAGGGGCATATCCCCTNGATAAAAGGAAGAGAAAAACTTGAAGAAGGCTTGGAGAAAGACGAAAAAGTTGTACAGGTGGTGGAAATTAAGGGCATATCCCTTNGATAAAAGGAAGAGAAAAACTTGAAGAAGGCTTGGAGAAAGACGAAAAAGTTGTACTGGTGGTGGAAATTAGGGGCATATCCCCTAATTCTTGAAGATGCCAACCACAAGCAGCTATCAATTGACGTGTTTAAGCTTTGTTACGAATGCTGCATCCAACAATTTTTTTTTCATTTTTGGGGATAATAAACGTGCATCCAAAACATTCATCTATACACATAGTTGCTATAAGAGCAAAAGACTATAGCACTACTATGCAAACAGCAGCAGACGCGACTTCTGTGGAGAACTTCATTATGCAATTCAGATCAAACAATTTCACAATCACCAAGCTTAACCCTAATTCCGTATAATGGAACTCTTGTATACACAGAGCACCATCCTCCTTCCAGACAATCAAGTCATAGAAAGTACAAAAACAAGAAGAAAATATCCAGGCAAAAGAAGATAATAACATGGCATAAAGCATGAATTTTCACATGGGTCCAATGAATAAACAACTTTGCATAGNTCCAGACAATCAAGTCATAGAAAGTACAAAAACAAGAAGAAAATATCCAGGCAAAAAGAAGATAATAACATGGCATAAAGCATGAATTTTCACATGGGTCCAATGAATAAACAACTTTGCATAGTCGNGAAACCTAAGCTTACTAAAATATTTAATACTTATTATGTTGAGTGTGTGTGTGTGTGTGAGAGAGAGAGAGAGATCATAATCCTATTATTTCCCCGAAACATAATTCCATTTCCTAATATCATATTAAACCACAAAAATCCAATTTGCAATAACTACATATTTCCACAAGATTCATATATTAATTTGAATGTTACCCAAAATGATGCAACTTTTGTTGCGCTATTTCTTGTATTATTACTTTAATTTCTTGTATCATATAATTTTTTTTTGTTAACGAGAAACCTTTTTAAGGTATGATCACTTTAAACTCATCCTTGCAAGAATAAATCCCGAATACTTGCAATTACCTATAGATCACAGGTATCAGATAAACCCCGAAAACACTAGTAAGGATTGAACTCCTAACATCGGGGTCTACAGTTTGTCCAGCTCAACCTCCACACCACTGAAGTACTCATACGGATTAAAANAAAAAATTAATCGAAATACGCATAAATTATCTCGAAAACCCCTAATCATTGAATTTTTTTTTTTTGGCGGGTATCGTAGCACAATAGACTCATCTTTTCTGAGATGCTGACTCCATGGTTGTCCAAGTTGAGTGGGATTGGAGACATTTGGGCCCCAACTTCAAAGGTAAACTTTGTACAGGAGAATTTTATGCACTGTGTGGTGGGGTTGTGTTTCCACAAGCCATTTAAAGAATTTTGGTTGGCTAACATTTGCACGAGGAACATATGCCACTTTGGTACAAAAATACTCTAGGAAAATCAACAGATCACAGCATCTACTTTGAGAGAATCATCAGATGATTTATTCTTTGTTCTTTTGCTTTTTCTTTTTCTTTATTTTTTTGGGTAAAATATATTAGTGGTCTCCGAAATATGTGCATTGTTTATTTTGATCCCTACTTCCAGATTGTCTCATTTTACTCTGTNTTTGAGAGAATCATCAGATGATTTATTCTTTGTTCTTTTGCTTTTTCTTTTTCTTTTTCTTTATTTTTTTAGGTAAAATATATTAGTGGTCTCCGAAATATGTGCATTGTTTATTTTGATCCCTACTTCCAGATTGTCTCATTTTACTCTATAAATAACTGCATTTATTGTTAAATTGTTCGAAAAGGATACGTGACCCCCATCATCTAAAAATACATATTTTTTCATTGTATGTGAATTATTTGGACGATAATAAGGGGGTGAATTATTTAAAAATAAATTGAAAACTTACGGTTCAACGTGACACAATTGGAAAAGATTAAAATAACAATGAACACATACTTGATTGTGTCCTTTATCCTTTTTATTTGTGTTTGGTGGGAGGGGGGAGGTTGTTTAACCTTAGAATCTCTGCCTTTTTTCTATATTAAACTTCTATAATTTCTACAAAATTAACAAATGAAAGCATGGATTGAGTTCTAGCAAGTTCCATCTAAGGACTACTTATTTATGTAGCTTATAGATTCCCACCACTTCCACTAAAATATAATGTTGCTTGAAACCTAAGCTTACTAAAATATTTAATACTTATTATGTTGAGTGTGTGTGTGTGTGTGAGAGAGAGAGAGATCGTAATCCTATTATTTCCCCGAAACATAATTCCATTTCCTAATATCATATTAAACCACAAAAATCCAATTCGCAATAACTACATATTTCCACAAGATTCATATATTAATTTGAATGTTACCCAAAATGATGCAACTTTTGTTGCCCTATTTCTTGTATTATTACTTTAATTTCTGGTATCATATAATTTTTTTTTGTTAACGAGAAACCTTTTCAAGGTATGGTCACTTTAAACTCATCCTTGCAAGAATAAATCCCGAATACTTGCAATTACCTATAGATCACAGATAAACCCCGAAAACACTAATAAGGATTGAACTCCTAACGTCGGGGTCTACAGTTTGTCCAGCTCAACCTCCACACCACTGAAGTACTCATACGGATTAAAAATATGAAAAAGAAAGAAAATCACACTGTTAACAAAACAAGGATCTCTTAAAAGCAAAGCCAATCAAATTTTGACGAGATATGACATGGCCACAAAAATTGGCAAGCCTCGGGAGGAAAAAAAATCGAACCGGCCCATTATTCTAGTGAGCCATTATCCAACTGGTTTACCAAATGACGTCAAACGGGCCGACCAACAGCCTGACGGACAAGGCCATGGCATTCGGCCTTCAAACACCGCAGAATAACCCAATTAAGACCCACATGGTCCCAGGTAAGTAAGACATAATAATACCCCCCCCCCCAACAACTTAAGGGCCCATTAGAACTGGAGTTTGGCCTGCTGATTGGAAAACCAGGTAAGCCCAGCCCATTTCTAACCTCCAAATGGATCCATATTATAAGACTACTAACAATAGATAGAAGACAACCTATTGGCTTAATGTTGTACTATGTTCAGAATCTTCAGATGTTCCTTCACGTCTAACTGTTCTGACAAATATATTAATATAACTTACAACAAGCAAATCCTGAATCTGGTCAACAAGCAAAATAGCTAACGCAAGTAACTTAATCCTGCTGAATCAGGTCATCTTTTCCGCAATCATACTTCACCCACTCTATGCGATGGAGCACCTCACGCAACAAATGACTTTACTAACATACAACCTCTGCTCTAGTTGAAAATAGCTGAAGCAAGACCATCCCCCATCTACTACAAACTCTCGTGCTCGTGCCTGTAGTGGTGATGGGGGATGGTCTTGTTTGGAATCCAACAGAGATAAAAGGAAGAGAAAAACTTGAAGAAGGCTTGGAGAAAGACGAAAAAGTTGTACAGGTGGTGGAAATTAAGGGCATATCCCTTAATTCTTGAAGATGCCAACCACAAGCAGCTATCAATTGACGTGTTTAAGCTTTGTTACGAATGCTGCATCCAACAATTTTTTTTTCATTTTTGGGGATAATAAACGTGCATCCAAAACATTCATCTATACACATAGTTGCTATAAGAGCAAAAGACTATAGCACTACTATGCAAACAGCAGCAGACGCGACTTCTGTGGAGAACTTCATTATGCAATTCAGATCAAACAATTTCACAATCACCAAGCTTAACCCTAATTCCGTATAATGGAACTCTTGTATACACAGAGCACCATCCTCCTTCCAGACAATCAAGTCATAGAAAGTACAAAAACAAGAAGAAAATATCCAGGCAAAAGAAGATAATAACATGGCATAAAGCATGAATTTTCACATGGGTCCAATGAATAAACAACTTTGCATAGTCCAAGTATATAGTATACAAATGAAAACACTTAAATGAGCTATGTTTAGCTCATTGAATTTTACAGTGTAAATCCTACCTGAATTTCCTGGTTTTTTTGTTTCGACGGGCACTATCAGGAGTTCGGTTATCCAGCTTGCGTTTTGTCCCGGCTTGTTTCAATGCTCCACTACCCTTCAGCACATTTACCTTTCTGGCAGCAACTGCTGGTCTTTTTTGCTTGCGTTCTTTGGGCTTCTGCACTTGCTGAGCCTTGGTTTTTAAGTTCACTGGCTCAATGATCTTTGGATGGAATTTCTTCTGCACACCAGATTTGGTTGCGCGCAGACCCTGGTAAGAGATGTCAGCCCTAGATTTCACCTTATTGCTACCGTCTGGAGTACTAGAATTCGGTGCAAACTTCTTCGTTGGAGTATTATTTGCCTCCTCCAGTGATGAGTTTTTCCTCTTAGATGGTGTGGAGTTTGATTTGGCATGATAGAGCCTCAACTCACGATCCCGGAGCTTCAAGTTCCGTTTTCTGATGACCAAGTTTGCAGCATCCTGCATGCCAAATAGACACAACTTCAAAACACAGTTTGGCACATAGTACATAAAATATTCACAAAATAGAGAACGCCAGATCGCTAAATAGCTATATGGGACATCTTGACATTCACGAATTTTTCAGAATTACAAGGATGCTCAATATGATTACATAGAAAAACTACATGAGCACACAAAACAACTATTTCCTCTTTCCACTCACAGTGCCAATGTGTCAGATCCTTTTAAGAGGAAATTTCAAAAAGAATGTAAACAGAAGGGGGAAACGCCTTGTCGCCTAATTCAACTTTGGGAAATAGGAAAGGTCAGCTCTCTAAATAATATTAGGGTGACCAGAGCCACAGACCATATTAGCTGGCATAAAAGATGATGATAAATGTACATTGCAAATCATACCCTTGTCTTGAACAAGACATAAGCAATGCCCTTTCCAACATTCGTATTAGGATCTCTGATAACCCGAATGGCCTCAATGTTGGATTCCAGACCATTGATACCAGAAAACAACTCATATATCTCTTCTGTCTGCAGAGAAAATGGAGAAAGTGTGCAGATCATTATAATTAACAAGATGCAAATACTGGGGGTCCACAAAACACAATACAGCGACAACTTGCCTTCACATCAAATGGGAGGTTGCCAACAAAAACAGTCTTTTTGTTATCATACAGTGGAGTATCATCTCCCTTCAGCTTCTTACGTGGTGGGCACGCCCTGTCCACACGCATGTGATTTCCTCCAACCTACATCCATCAACACAACAAAACCATACTACCTTCAGTTGAACATAGCAATTGCATGAAACCCAGTTTCTGTCCCAAAACAAAGCTAATCAAATAATTTTTGGAAAACCAACATACCACTGCCATATTATGGGCCAAAGAAGCATGAGCATGTTCCTCTGTTTTGAAAACAATGTAAGCATGAACACTGCAAAAAATCCAACTACATATTATCGTGAAGATGAGAAGTACAATGATAACTGAAAAGGAGCTAGTAGTTCTTTCAAGAAAAGTATAACTTCTACCACATAATCATACAAGCAAAATCCAAATTGTTGATTATGTTCGAATCATAATTATGAAGTTAGTAGATATTGCGAGAACTCGGTTTATGTTGTATCTGAGTTGCTTTGAGAGACTTTAATCTAGAAAAACCAAAAATATGAACANTCAATTGGAAAAGATTAAAATAACAATGAACACATACTTGATTGTGTCCTTTATCCTTTTTATTTGTGTTTGGTGGGAGGGGGGAGGTTGTTTAACCTTAGAATCTCTGCCTTTTTTCTATATTAAACTTCTATAATTTCTACAAAATTAACAAATGAAAGCATGGATTGAGTTCTAGCAAGTTCCATCTAAGGACTACTTATTTATGTAGCTTATAGATTCCCACCACTTCCACTAAAATATAATGTTGCTTGAAACCTAAGCTTACTAAAATATTTAATACTTATTATGTTGAGTGTGTGTGTGTGTGTGAGAGAGAGAGAGAGATCATAATCCTATTATTTCCCCGAAACATAATTCCATTTCCTAATATCATATTAAACCACAAAAATCCAATTTGCAATAACTACATATTTCCACAAGATTCATATATTAATTTGAATGTTACCCAAAATGATGCAACTTTTGTTGCGCTATTTCTTGTATTATTACTTTAATTTCTGGTATCATATAATTTTTTTTTGTTAACGAGAAACCTTTTTAAGGTATGATCACTTTAAACTCATCCTTGCAAGAATAAATCCCGAATACTTGCAATTACCTATAGATCACAGGTATCAGATAAACCCCGAAAACACTAGTAAGGATTGAACTCCTAACATCGGGGTCTACAGTTTGTCCAGCTCAACCTCCACACCACTGAAGTACTCATACGGATTAAAAAATATGAAAAAGAAAGAAAATCACACTGTTAACAAAACAAGGATCTCTTAAAAGCAAAGCCAATCAAATTTTGACGAGATATGACATGGCCACAAAAATTGGCAAGCCTCGGGAGGAAAAAAAATCGAACCGGCCCATTATTCTAGTGAGCCATTATCCAACTGGTTTACCAAATGACGTCAAACGGGCCGACCAACAGCCTGACGGACAAGGCCATGGCATTCGGCCTTCAAACACCGCAGAATAACCCAATTAAGACCCACATGGTCCCAGGTAAGTAAGACATAATAATACCCCCCCCCCCANTTGCTTTGAGAGACTTTAATCTAGAAAAACCAAAAATATGAACACATCACAACAGTAACTACAAAATTTAAAAATAAAAGAGGCATTTTTTTTTTTTTGGGAGGGGGGGAGACGGCCAGAAGACTGCATGACAAGCCCGTTTGAAGGCACAAATCCAACTATTCAACAAATTAAGAAAAAATCAAAATAACAAAATGAGGTGTATGACTTAGAATAAAACCTGTCAGCAGCATCATTGATTTTCTTGTTGATTATAGCACCCTTCCTTGGAACTTTGGTCTGAGAAACACAAACAATCAAATGTTATTCATACTGTTATTAACCTTATAAGTAGAAAAAACTGCCAATATGATAGACACATAATATGACCAAGAAACCAAGTTTGTGAACAGGAGAACACCCACATCTATTAATGGAATGGACCGAATTCTCACAGATTCGACCTCTCCAAACTTGCTAAATTCCTTCAAGAGTGCCTTCTTCTTCACCTTCAATGGCAAATTCCCAACAAACACAGTCCTCAAAAGCTTTCCCTCATCATCAAATCCTTCCTTTGAAACCATCATATCCTCTGGATTATCCAACTTTTTCCTCTTCTTCCCAACACCTACCCCTCCCAAATTCCCCTCTTCGCCTCCGTCTTGCACTGCCACCACCCCATACCGCTTCGACTCATACTCCGCCTCTACCTCATCCCGCTTCCTCTTCTTTTTCTTCTTACCTTTTCTCTCGCTATCCAAATTCACCGTCCCATTCAATTCCATAGCCACATTCGGGTTTTCTCCTTCGCCTTTTCCCGAATAATCCTCCGATTCAATAACCACATCGAGGCTTGCCTTTTCCTCTTTATAGGACATTCCCTTCGACTTCATACCAAAATCTCCCTTCTTTCCTTTCCCTTTCACCGAAAATTCCTTTGAGTCAGAACCCAAAACAGCATTTCGCCCCTTTTTCCCTGCCCTCAATTTGGAATCGAAACCAGGGTATTCGGGCTTGGCTTTCTTCGATTTCTTACTCTCCAAATGAATTTCCGAAGCTTCACCAACAGAATCCGAGTTAAGATAAGGCCTTTGCTCTGCATCCTTTTTTCTCTTCTTCAGCTCAACTGAATTAGGTTTGTCAGAATCGCCACTCTTAGGGTTTTCAACAACTTCAGCTGAATCAAGCCGTGACCCTAATTTTTGTTGAGTGGGTGTCTCAGAACGGTCAAAAGGTTTTCTTCGGAACGGGTTATCGGTAGAGAAGATTGAAGAGGTGGTGCTTTGTTCTGGGATATCTCCAAAGAGGGTCTTGAAAACATCGGATGAACCTGAACTGGAAACATTATTGCCGTTCGCTTTGTTGCATGGTTCTTTGGGTTTCTTCGCCATTTTTGGGTTCAAATGACAAAAAAAGAGTAAATATTTTGGGAGGTAATACAGCGAAGAAGGTTTTGAAAGAGAAGAGAGAGGATTTGGACTTTGCAATACTCGCTGATTTTATACCCTAACCCTAAAACCCAAATCCAAATCCAAATCCCAAATCCCATCCGAACTTTTTGAGATGCCTTTTGTGGAGCCCATAATTGACTCGAATTATTTGAATTTGGCTTAGTTTGATTTTTTTATTTTTTTTTTCAAGAATGGGGAAAAGAGACTTAACCGTTAACACAGTCAAAGTCTTTGTAAAATAAAAATATCAGTGAACTAAAGACTGATCGGTAATTTGGCTTAGTTTGATTCGATTTTANGGTAATACAGCGAAGAAGGTTTTGAAAGAGAAGAGAGAGGATTTGGACTTTGCAATACTCGCTGATTTTATACCCTAACCCTAAAACCCAAATCCAAATCCAAATCCCAAATCCCGATGCCTTTTGTGGAGCCCATAATTGACTCGAATTATTTGAATTTGGCTTAGTTTGATTTTTTTATTTTTTTTTCCAAGAATGGGGAAAAGAGACTTAACCTTTAACAGAGTCAAAGTCTTTGTAAAATAAAAATATCAGTGAACTAAAGACTGATCGGTAATTTGGCTTAGTTTGATTCGATTTAAAATAACAAAACTTAGCTCATTTAGATAATCGATTCGTAGCCACAGTAGCCTCTATTGCTACTAAACCAATAGTCGAATTGTTCAATTCATTTTGGGCTCAGCACAAAATGTGTCATGTTTTAATAATTTTTTAATCTCATTTGAAAAACGAGTTCAAGAGTCTTGGTTCGATTATTAAATCTACTTGGGCTAGTTGGGTTGGGCTGCAATATAGATTTTGTTTAGCAATGTTGGACTAGAGTAAACGTTCAGCATATACACGCAATATTATCACTCAATAATAATATATTTATTAATTATTCAACATGGTGATTATTGAAAGTTACCAAAAANAGTAGCCTCTATTGCTACTAAACCAATAGTCGAATTGTTCAATTCATTTTGGGCTCGGCACAAAATGTGTCATGTTTTAATAATTTTTTAATCATTTGAAAAACGAGTTCAAGAGTCTTGGTTCGATTATTAAATCTACTTGGGCTAGTTGGGTTGGGCTGAAATATAGGTTTTGTTTAGCAATGTTGGACTAGAGTAAACGTTCAGCATATCATGTCACTGGTGACACGCAATATTATCACTCAATAATAATATATTTATTAATTATTCAACATGGTGATTATTGAAAGTTACCAAACAAATGTGCTCCGTTATACACACATGGTATATTATCATTGGTCGATGATATTGCATATCATGGTGTCAACAAGTATATAATATTTTCTCCTTGGACTGGGAAATGGGCCTCTGGACCTCCCTAAAGTCCAATTTGATTTAGCCTCAAAACACCACTAGCAGTTGGGTTGGGCTGTGAGGTGGGTTTTTGTTTTGTTCTACTGGCTTGGGAACCGGATCTCTTGTCCTCCCAAAAAATGCAATTTGATTTCAAGCCCAGAAAACACCACGAACATCAGTGCATGGAAAATTGATATTCCGTGTGAAAAGCATAAACAACTCATGTGAATGTCACATTCGAGTACCCAATTAAGGCAGGAAAGAACTAGTCTTCTTAAGAGCAACTCTAAGAAGCACAATAAACTGACTTTCATGGAATTGAACTCCAACAGATTAGTTATCACACTATATATTGTCCATAGCTTTTATTTGACTAGTTATTTCTGGCGAGGTAAAACAGTTCGTCAATCTATTTTTTACACCAACAACACCCCTAATTACAGAAGGCTCCACCAACTGAAGGAGCATCGACTGAATGCTTCATCGCAAAGTTCCACTGACCAAAGGTTATAGCAGGTATGATAACTCTGGATTGATAACATGGACCTAAATTTTGCCCCTTTCATTTTAGATCTACATTCAGAACCCTAAAAATTTCTACTTTTGCTTATTTGGAGCATTTGGGTTCCTGTGTATTGATTTTTATGGTATCTCTCTCTCTCTCTCTCACAGAATGGGGAAGACAATAAGTTGATTAAAATTCAGCAAACCCCCCCAACAAAATTCAGTAAAATCCCTTTAAAAATTCAGCAAAATCCCCAAAAAAATTCAAAAAATTAACAAAATTCCCCAAGTATTTTATGATATTTACTCTTGTAGCCCATAATTAATTAAATTTATACAATGTATAGTTCAATTGTGTTTTTTAAATTTTATTATTAAAAGTTAGTTGAAGTGGTTAGTTAAAATAGATAGCGTTGTTGGAGTGAATTTGAAAAAAGTAGTTATCTAAAGTAGATAATACAATATTTAAGTATATTTTGAGTAGTTATTTTAGATAACATTATTGGAGTTGCTCTAAACTAGTGATAACTTGCATGTATTTTAATTAATTTTATCTTCGATCAGGTCAAAGATAAGACAACTTTATTAGAATTAAGAAATTCATGAGAGATAAATCCCTAATAGTCTAACTCTAAAAAGTTTATCAAAATTTAAACTTAAAATGTTTAAGTTTACAACTTGTATTATTCCTTGGAGTTAGTGATTAGAACTTTAAAAAGTGAAAAATTCAAAGGATTACTGTGTCACTGAGGATAGAAATTTTCAACCCGATACACATTAAATGATATTTCGGAGTTTGGCTCATTTACTTCTCATACTCCGCATATTAAAATTTCCTATTTAATGAACTGAGCTATTAGGACCCGGAACAAAGTTATCTGAAAAGGGGAAAATTGAAGCTTACTATGGCAAGTGAGCTTGGACTATCTACACTAATCTAGTCCAAATGTTAGGTAAACCACGAAATTGGAGGTGAGATAACATCATAAAGACCAAGTATTGTCTTGTCCTAATGACAAAAGATAGAATTACTAAGGACATGTTTTAGAATTACAATCTCATTCCAAATATGATGGGGGTAACAAATTATGCTTTATCATTGATAATTAAAAAATAAGGCTGGGTCTTACTGCATGATTGTTTTATTGTGATTTGGATGTCGATAATTCAAGTCACACAACTTTGCATNTCATTTTAACCCCCCCCCCCCCCAAAAAAAAAAAAAAAATATATATATATATATATATATATATATATAAGAAACACTTGCAATGAGTTGTGGTTTACTAACAATAAGATAGAATCTAAAGTCTAAAGAATAACAATGGCTTCCTCTAAAATTTGGTTGTCTTAAGCTTCTCTAAAAGAGTATGGAAGGAACCCCAATGAATAGTTCAGGTAATAACAGAAACGACCTGTGAAATCAAACGTCAAAATCTTGATAATCCCTTGGAGTCGTACCATGAAAAAATTATTCTTCACAAATACCCTTATGCCGGCGTGAATGACCTGTCTTTAACTAGATTGAAGAAGAGATTAATTGATGTGATCGTAAACTGGCCCAAACAATAAGTTCATGCCAATAATTTTGCAAATCAAAATGATATAGAAAACAATCAACAGTAAGATACCAATACAAAACGCGAGCACATAAATATACCCACTAGAAACTACATACATGGTGCAACAACAATCAGATAATTTTTTACGAAACTTCCACTTGCAAAAGGGTGAAGATATGTCATAATCATCAAGCTCAATCCTCACCAGAAAATGCCAATCGGTTCAAAAAATGCTAAGCCACAGCTTTACCGAAACTTGAGTGCAACTGAAGAACTGGATGAATCCTCTCATCGAGTCTCCTAATAACTGATTCCTTCCTGCACAGCCACAGCCACAGCCACAGCCACCTCAATTTATACGGGGATTCCTTGTTTCTATTTATTCTCTGTCGATGATTGCTCGTTGAGAAGATTGGGAAACATTTTTAGCAGACTGGTCAGAAGCAGAAGCTAGACCCTGCAACATTCTTAATATCTCATTGGTATCCTCTAAGTAGTACTTGGCCCTACTGGGTTTCTGGCCAACAGTACAAGCAAACACTTCTGCAACTGGAGATAGACAACCACTGGCCATTGCACCCATTATAACCTCAAACATATCCTCGTCTGAACGGTCATCCCCAATACAGAGCACAAAATCGGGAAGCATTCCCTTCTGCTTCATTGTCGCTAGGAGGCGTTCTGCAACGAGACCTTTATTGACACCCTAGTGGTAGAATATGGGATCAAATGATAAGTATGGCAGACCTCATCATATGGAGGGGGAAAAACCTCAAATAGACAGTTTGTGTCATCATTTTTTTCCCAAACAACTAAGAAAAAACATCGGATAATTATATGTCATGGGAGAATCATGTTGGAGAAATACACACACAGATGTATGGAAAAACAACAAATCAATTAAATGTTCTAACCTCAATAAAGAAACAAGAGGAATACAAGTACTTAAAATTAAAATGAAGAAAAGGAAAAATTTGAGAGGAAAACAATGATCGAGCGTTCAAAAAATTTGGCACAAATACTATGTATTTATGTTCAGATTTTTTATCCACAGTCAAGTGTAGACTGTGCTGGATTCTTTCTTGAAATATTTGGTGAATTTGGATTGAATTTAGAAAGTTATGCAGGGTGGCTATTTCCACTGAATTTTGAAAGAAATTAATAACAGTTGCTCTGTTTACTATAGTAGAAATTATAAAGCACATATCTTTTCAAAGCTTCAAAGACAGATTGGAATAAATGTCTGCCGTAAACTAAGAGGTAGTTTTGAGGGGCCAAGGATACAATTTCATTCTAGACATTTATATCATACTGTAATTGTTTTATGGTGCATTGACTGTCTTAAGAGTAAAAAATCTCCAAACACTGTTTTTCAAACCAAAAAAACAAAAGGAAATTTAATATTTTTTATCATCTTGCAAGCTCCACAAATGATTTGAAATCTAAACACATTGTATGTATTTCACAATTGATGATATCAATCCCATTCTCAATTGTTTTTTGTGTAATCATAGATATAACTACGATTAGAGAGATATTAAAGAGACAATGAAAACCGCAGCTATACAAATAATTCTTCAGATCTTTGCCTAACAAATTCCTGATCAAGATTTCTTCAAGCGAAGGCTACACAAACTACAAACGTAACCATTTGATCAAACGGAATAGTGCTGTCTAGCACGGATAATAGACCCTGTGAGTGGCCAAAATGAAAGACAAGACTGACATGGATTCCACATCATATAGAAGCACGTGTAGTTGGACCAAGTAAAACAGATGTGAAATGCCTTAACACTAATATCTTCCTTATTTAATACGCTACCCTCTACTTTTACAAAACAATGGTTTGGTTGCAACTGAACTTTTTTTTCCTGGTACCTGAGTGGCCGGTAACCTAGTAAATCACAATTAGATGCAAATAGTAAAATCCTAACCCAAAAGGGATTATGATATTCCAAAGATTCAATTTCTCAAAAAGATAAGAAGACAATCTCAAGTCTCAACTAGGCATAAAAACGAGATGAAAGACAGATTTTGTCATGGACACTTTGATTTTGTATGTTAAAAGAAAATTGCTAACAAATTTAAAGACCTAATCAATCATAAATGATCTGTAGGATTTGTAAGAATGTCCACTTTAATATATCATTGGATTGAGATGTGTTATGAAATAATTTTTTTTATGTTCTTTTTGTTAATACCAAATCGATACTGGTCTTAATTTGTTATAGTAATGAAACCTTGGGATCTTAATACACATCCAATCTTGAATTTACAAATATTTTTATATAGAACTAAAACCCAATTTAGTCCCCCTTAGTGGAGGTCAGAAATTTTTTTTTTAAATACAAATTGGTCAATTGTTTTCTTCATTGGAAAAATTGAATCCTAGCTCCACCACAGCTTGCAATGTTGGAACTGTGAAGTTTGTGGATGATACAAGTCATTTCAGTGAGATAAATCGAATCCCATTGATTTACCTCACCAAAAGACAAAATGTGATAAATAAGCATAGAATGTTGGAATATCGTAACAGGAAACTATGTCTATACTTTTCACATTAGCAGAATTATTATACTCCTGCAGTTCCCAAATTTGGGTATAAACCTTTATAAGGGGTCTACATGTTAGCATCCGAGTATATCAGTAAAGCTCCTACATGTAATGTTTCTACCTCATACCAATGGAGGCCGGTTAAATCTCATGCTATAGTTTCAACTGCATCCTAGCAGGTTGGCCAATGTTTCCCTTTAGATTTACATTTACGTTGGTTTTCAAACAATTCAAAGCAATTCCTTCAATCACTCTCTGGTAATTAAGAATTTTTCCAATTAAGAATCTCGTGGCTAAATCACCATTCTATTCCCCCTATATCTGAAATAACTTTTGAGTTGGACATGTGAAGTGACACGATGAAACAAGCAGTGTATGAATTACCTGCGGTTTAACTTCTACAATGTGCTGGCTACTCTTGACAGAAACCGGTTCATTGGCAAGAACACTTTCCAGGTGATCTAGAAGCTCCTTAGCCTGGCATAAGCCGAAATCTGGATCCGCGTGCTGGTAATTCCAAACAAGTGCACTCTCTCTTGTATCTATGGCAGAACCATCAGTTGTTTCAGTGTACAATTGCATGACTGGCTCAGCAATCTGTTTCCAGTAAAACTCTGGCACAGCAACAGAAGTTTCCCAGTCCGCATCTTCATTTGGCCTGAAAAGAATAACATTCGTTGTGGCTTCAATGCGATGCAAAGGCAAATTAGATATAGGATATCTGAAACTGGTAGAAGGACTGATTGAAAGTGCAGTGGGATTGGCATCAAAGCCAATTACTCCCCATCCCCCACTCAATCTCCCCCCCACCCCACCAAAACAACCGGAAAAAAAAACAATGACCGTGAAAAAAATACACAAGCAAAAAACAGAGCCAAAAAGTTGAAAATCCCACCAACAACATCAACAAAAGCATCAGAAATGGAAGCGGCACAAAAATTGGAAAAGAGAAATCCATAAAGTGGGCAGTAAGAGAAATGAAGGGATCATGAGAATTTTATCAAGATATCTATAGCACCAAAAGTTAAAGAGGATCCATCTGACACCATTTCAAGGATGACCCCTAGATAAGGGTGTAAACCCTTCATTGATCAACTTCAATTTTTTTTTTTTGATAAAAAAAAAAAAAAACCTTCAATTTTGACCATTTATTTTGAATATCAAATTCAAGCAGACAAAACAGATGGCCACATGACCTGAAATCATGTCAAAAATGGTGGGCCCTGATCTGTTGGGCATCCTTCTAATCCACATGGTCCATATGGTTACAAGATTGGGTGAGCCGCATACTTTTCATGACATGAATCATGAAATATTTTTTATGGAGGCTATCATCTAAGACTAATAAGTTAGCTCCCATAACTGCCACCACTTACTTCTGCCATCATCATATGCACAAAGCACAACCACCATTTCATTTCCCAATTCTGCCACCACCACGATCATGACTCTATTACAACAATACAACCACAACAGTCACTATATTACAATCTTATTTTTATTTTATCACAATATATGCATCCAAGGGATGGAATTCTACCATGAAAGGACTTAGTTCCCTTTAATCGAAATCCGTCACAATGATAGCATGTTTTGTCATATCCCAATGCACCCTCATTTTGCATATGTAAGTTGAACTCAATGATGCCCATCAAAAGCAAACCAGAACGATCCAATTTTTGCAGTTGACAACAATAAGGAAACCAAATTATTTGAGTTAATGCATAGTATACTAAGACTGTATTCACTTATTTTATTCTTCTACTATGGGATTTTCACACATGATATCTAAACAATCTCCACCTCCTGCGTGAACTTCATTGAGCTTAAAATTTCCCATTCTGATCTATCACTCTCTACATGCCCAATCTACCACTCTCTACAAACAATGTGTCTAAATCATCTTTTATCAGAGTCCGTTTTTCTAAGAATCCAAGTTTTCAACTGTGCTTTTCATGAGTTACTATGTCATCACTCTATCCAGAGTCCTGCTCCATCAACAGTTGTGTTTCTATGACACCAACACTTAAGAGTTCATCATTATTAACAACACACTAACATTACTTCTTAGAGAGTTAAACCAGAATCGTCAGACATCTGATATCAATTGTTGGGAGACAAAGGAATCTAACACAAAAAGCTCAATACAAATGTTTGGAACTTACCCACCTAAAAAGCTAAAAGATCAAGCCTGTTGGCAGTGAACTCAATCATAATAGATTAAGATATTTTTGATTATTTNCCCCCCACCCCACCAAAACAACCGGAAAAAAAAACAATGACCGTGAAAAAAATACACAAGCAAAAAACAGAGCCAAAAAGTTGAAAATCCCACCAACAACATCAACAAAAGCATCAGAAATGGAAGCGGCACAAAAATTGGAAAAGAGAAATCCATAAAGTGGGCAGTAAGAGAAATGAAGGGATCATGAGAATTTTATCAAGATATCTATAGCACCAAAAGTTAAAGAGGATCCATCTGACACCATTTCAAGGATGACCCCTAGATAAGGGTGTAAACCCTTCATTGATCAACTTCAATTTTTTTTTTTTGATAAAAAAAAAAAAAAACCTTCAATTTTGACCATTTATTTTGAATATCAAATTCAAGCAGACAAAACAGATGGCCACATGACCTGAAATCATGTCAAAAATGGTGGGCCCTGATCTGTTGGGCATCCTTCTAATCCACATGGTCCATATGGTTACAAGATTGGGTGAGCCGCATACTTTTCATGACATGAATCATGAAATATTTTTTATGGAGGCTATCATCTAAGACTAATAAGTTAGCTCCCATAACTGCCACCACTTACTTCTGCCATCATCATATGCACAAAGCACAACCACCATTTCATTTCCCAATTCTGCCACCACCACGATCATGACTCTATTACAACAATACAACCACAACAGTCACTATATTACAATCTTATTTTTATTTTATCACAATATATGCATCCAAGGGATGGAATTCTACCATGAAAGGACTTAGTTCCCTTTAATCGAAATCCGTCACAATGATAGCATGTTTTGTCATATCCCAATGCACCCTCATTTTGCATATGTAAGTTGAACTCAATGATGCCCATCAAAAGCAAACCAGAACGATCCAATTTTTGCAGTTGACAACAATAAGGAAACCAAATTATTTGAGTTAATGCATAGTATACTAAGACTGTATTCACTTATTTTATTCTTCTACTATGGGATTTTCACACATGATATCTAAACAATCTCCACCTCCTGCGTGAACTTCATTGAGCTTAAAATTTCCCATTCTGATCTATCACTCTCTACATGCCCAATCTACCACTCTCTACAAACAATGTGTCTAAATCATCTTTTATCAGAGTCCGTTTTTCTAAGAATCCAAGTTTTCAACTGTGCTTTTCATGAGTTACTATGTCATCACTCTATCCAGAGTCCTGCTCCATCAACAGTTGTGTTTCTATGACACCAACACTTAAGAGTTCATCATTATTAACAACACACTAACATTACTTCTTAGAGAGTTAAACCAGAATCGTCAGACATCTGATATCAATTGTTGGGAGACAAAGGAATCTAACACAAAAAGCTCAATACAAATGTTTGGAACTTACCCACCTAAAAAGCTAAAAGATCAAGCCTGTTGGCAGTGAACTCAATCATAATAGATTAAGATATTTTTGATTATTTCTCTTCCAATATGGGATTTTCAAATGTGATATCACATCATCTGCCTCTTACAAGTGAACCATGTCAAGTTATTACTCCTCTTTGTGCACTTCAAGTTAACTGATCCCCCACTCTCTACAAGTATTGTGTATAAATGACTCTTTACAAGTGTCCGCTCTTCTAAGAATCAAAATTTTACCAATTCTTCATGAGTCACAACATTACAACTCTATCGAGTTGCCTTGCAGCCAAAGCCTCTCGCACTGTTCTATCAAGAAATTGCATTCCATAATTCCAACACCAATAACTCACTCTTGTTCTGGTCACTCATAATTCATATCGACATACTACACCGTTTTTTGGAGAGTTCACCTAAGATTATCAATCATCATCTCTGATAACAATTGTTGGGAAATAAGAGAAGCCCAACACAACATGTCAAATATACATGTGTTAAACTCACAACCACCTAAAAGCCTAAGTCTATGGTAATGAGCTCAATCCTACTGTATTAAACTTTGTACTTATTTTTTTTCCAATATGGGATTCCCATATGTGATATCTCAATACCAATGACCAAAAACAAATAAAAACCAAAATGTTTTACACCCGCAAATTTCAACCAATATTTCAGTAAGCTTATGATTTCTTCTGCTTTCTTATAAAACAAACCAAATGACGAATTGAATTTCTTTATCCAGCAGTTCCTTTACTGAATGCTTTTTCATACCCATAGTCAGCACATGCTTGAATTCTATAGTTTATGGTCAAGTTTAGATAAGAGTAACACAATAAAATTCAAGAGACCGTTAAATATGAAAGCATATACCTTACAAAATAACCATGTTCTGCTGCAATTCCTAGCTTTTCGCAAGAAGAAAACCACTGAGTTAAAGTCTTTCTGTCCTTCCCGCTAACAATGTACATCACATTCTTGGGGTCCCTGCACAAGTTATTCAAGATACCCACAGCCTCTGAATTGGGACTTGTGATGATTGATCTATGCTGCATCATAGTACCATCATAATCCAAAAGAATTGCTCGGTTCTTGGTCCTTTTATAAGCTGATACGATGTGATCAATGGAGAGCTTCCTGAAACTTGGATCCAAGGCAATTACCCGGAATCCTAAACCAAAACCAATACCCCAGAACCTCCGCCTCACATGATGTCTACATGCCCTCTCAAGATCTTGCAAAAAGCTATGCGCCCAATATGCAACATCATGAGTACTCACATATCTGTAATGCTTCTCATGCCGCATTTGTTTCTCTGCCTCAGAGACAACTAAAGCAGAATCCATAGCTTCAGCCACAGAATCAATGTTCCATGGATTAACTCGAATTGCACCACTAAGAGATGGCGAACACCCAACAAACTCAGAAACCACCAGCATGCTCTTCTTTGGTGTTGATGGGCTAAGGCCCAAGGTATCATCTAGCTTATCAGTTCCTTGTCGGCATATAACATATTCATAAGGGATTAGATTCATCCCATCCCTCACTGCTGTGACGAGACAACACTCTGCAATTACATAGTAAGCAATTCGCTCATAAAACTGAAGTGGGGTATCAATCAAAACCACCGGCTCATATCCTGGTCGCCCAAATGTCCGATTAATCCTGGTAACTGTAGCATAAGTTTCAGACTGAACCTCCTGTACATCTTTTCCTCGACCTCTGGCAGGGTTTGCTATTTGAACCAAAACAACCTTGCCCCTCTTATCAGGATGCTGTATAAGCAATTGTTCAAAAGCCAAAAGTTTCAAGCTTATTCCTTTAAATATGTCCATGTCATCAACTCCAAGCAAAACAGTCTGACCCCTGAACTGATCCCTTAACTCAGCAACTCTTGATTCAGTCTCCGGCTGGTCTAAGACAGACTGAATTTGGACCATATGTATCCCAACTGGGAGAATCTTAATGCTTACAGTACGACCATAGTACTCAAGACCAATGTAACCTCGCTTGGACTGGTAAGATATGCCGAGCATTCTACTACAACAAGAGAGAAAGTGCCTCGCATAATCAAAGGTGTGGAAGCCAATAAGGTCAGAGTTCAGAAGTGCTCGTAGAAGTTCATCTCTTACAGGAAGGGTGCGGTATATCTCTGATGATGGGAATGGACTGTGAAGGAAGAATCCAAGCTTAACCCTGTTAAATCTTTTCCTCAGAAAAGTAGGTAAAACCATCAAATGGTAGTCATGAACCCACACAAAATCATCATCAGGACTGATAACTTCCATTACTTTGTCAGCAAATATCTTGTTCACAGACACATAAGCTTGCCACAGGGATCTATCAAAGCGGCCACCAAGCTCTGGTGATAGCGGAAGCATGTAGTGGAATAAAGGCCATAAGTGCTGTTTGCAGAAACCATGATAGAATTTGCTAAAGAGCTCGGGAGGGATGAAAGCCGGGACACATTTGAATGTGTCAAGCAAAGTTTGGGCTACATCATCTTGTTCACTCGGGTCGATTTCCTCTCTAAGACCACCAACATAGATAACTTCTACATCTTCCCCGAGGCCATCTTTGAGTTGTAAAAGAAGGGAATCCTCATCCCAACTAAAGTTCCACCCTTCCTCACCTTCAGATCTCCGATGCGCCCGAAGTGGAAGTTGGTTCCCAACAATGATCATCCGTTCTTGGGAGACAGAAGAGGGAGCATCAGAGCCAACACTACTCTTACTTTCATCATCTAGCTCAGACAACACCCCAGCAAAAGTCACAACTCGAGACAACCTCTTCCCCCCTCGGCCAAAAGTTGGTGATTCACCAGAAGTAAGATCCGATAGGTTGGAATAAGACCTCGAAACCATTATCGAAATTTATGTATATATATAACTATGAATCTATTGAAGGCAGCAAGAGTATGCTACTCCTCCTTTATCCAATTGGTGTAGACAAGTTCTGCAAACAACTTGTGGCAAGATAGAATCAGTCAGAACAGAATTCCAGAGACGATTGAATGAAATGCAAACATAATCACAGAAGAAAATTGCAGTAGCCCCACACGCGGCCACAATAATACATAATTAACAAAATAAACCCAGAAAAATTGCTATTTGCGAAAATTAGTATTAAACCCAGGAACTCAACTGGCATGTAGAAAATGATAGATTGTACCCCAGCCAAAAGAAAATATGAATAAACAATCATAAATTTGAGAACCCAAGAATAATTCGAGCGAAACCCACAAAAATCTGAAGCAGCAGAGGAACTTTATAAATGTCGGAAATCCCAAGAAGCTAAATCTAACTGTTAACAATTATAAATTATATAAACAAATATGTGCAAGTTCTCAGCAACTAAATTTGGTTTTTACAACTAAATAGGGACGATAATTACCTCTAGAACCCAAATCAACAAAGACACCCAGACAAATTTTTCAATACTACTCCATCAACCCAGATAGGTTCTACACTATGAGAGAGAGTCAACTTGAAGGGAAAACTTGCAATAAGTTGCAGAAAGTAGGCATGCAACTTCATGGCAAAAAACAATATCGCAGAACACCCAAAAAAGTGCTTAGAATTGGTAGCTTAATAACAAAAACTTACCTTTCAAAGGCAGCCAGAGAATGGTCTCTAGATCTTCAAAGATTCCCACTACCAAATATCAAACGTTATATTCCTCTCTCTATCTCTCAGAGCAACAATGGTGTCAAATCACCAGACCTTTTTCTTCACTTTTTTTGTTAGTGTATGCACAAATTTCCATTTTTCTCTAAACGTNTGTAAAAGAAGGGAATCCTCATCCCAACTAAAGTTCCACCCTTCCTCACCTTCAGATCTCCGATGCGCCCGAAGTGGAAGTTGGTTCCCAACAATGATCATCCGTTCTTGGGAGACAGAAGAGGGAGCATCAGAGCCAACACTACTCTTACTTTCATCATCTAGCTCAGACAACACCCCAGCAAAAGTCACAACTCGAGACAACCTCTTCCCCCCTCGGCCAAAAGTTGGTGATTCACCAGAAGTAAGATCCGATAGGTTGGAATAAGACCTCGAAACCATTATCGAAATTTATGTATATATATAACTATGAATCTATTGAAGGCAGCAAGAGTATGCTACTCCTCCTTTATCCAATTGGTGTAGACAAGTTCTGCAAACAACTTGTGGCAAGATAGAATCAGTCAGAACAGAATTCCAGAGACGATTGAATGAAATGCAAACATAATCACAGAAGAAAATTGCAGTAGCCCCACACGCGGCCACAATAATACATAATTAACAAAATAAACCCAGAAAAATTGCTATTTGCGAAAATTAGTATTAAACCCAGGAACTCAACTGGCATGTAGAAAATGATAGATTGTACCCCAGCCAAAAGAAAATATGAATAAACAATCATAAATTTGAGAACCCAAGAATAATTCGAGCGAAACCCACAAAAATCTGAAGCAGCAGAGGAACTTTATAAATGTCGGAAATCCCAAGAAGCTAAATCTAACTGTTAACAATTATAAATTATATAAACAAATATGTGCAAGTTCTCAGCAACTAAATTTGGTTTTTACAACTAAATAGGGACGATAATTACCTCTAGAACCCAAATCAACAAAGACACCCAGACAAATTTTTCAATACTACTCCATCAACCCAGATAGGTTCTACACTATGAGAGAGAGTCAACTTGAAGGGAAAACTTGCAATAAGTTGCAGAAAGTAGGCATGCAACTTCATGGCAAAAAACAATATCGCAGAACACCCAAAAAAGTGCTTAGAATTGGTAGCTTAATAACAAAAACTTACCTTTCAAAGGCAGCCAGAGAATGGTCTCTAGATCTTCAAAGATTCCCACTACCAAATATCAAACGTTATATTCCTCTCTCTATCTCTCAGAGCAACAATGGTGTCAAATCACCAGACCTTTTTCTTCACTTTTTTTGTTAGTGTATGCACAAATTTCCATTTTTCTCTAAACGTACGAGTAGAAAAGGGATATCTTTACACAAAGCATTTGATTCCCTCTCTCTCTCTCTACGTGCCAGTGATGACTGATGAGATCAAGAACACAGAACAGTGAGCTCCACGTGTCTATCTAACCATGGATAAATTTTTTAAGCAATTATGCCCAAGCGAAAACGCACCAGAGAAGCTCAACTTGAGACATATGATATGACCATTAGCTGACCCTTTTTGCTTACGAGAATCTAATTTGAGAGTCTAACTTAAGCATTTAATGATATAATTTTAATATTAAATAAAATTTATTATCAATTATTGAATTTAGATTCCGAAATTAGATTTACAAATAAAATTCAAATTACATTTTTCTTTACCTTAATTTTATTAACTCAACTAGGGTACTTAATAAAAGAGTACTATAACTCTAAAATTCATTATCTTTTTATGCATTTTATAATTTTTGTGAATATTTTTATAATAAAAAAATTATCAATTTTGTAAATAAATGATTATTTTTATTAATATTTTTATCACAGTTATAATAATTATTTATATCACTCTTCTTTGATACAAAAAAAATTATCATTTTTATGAGTGATTTATGACAGTTGTGATAATTATTTTTACTATTTTTTTAATACCATAATAATGATAGACATACTCTCTCCATACTTTAGACAACTCCTAACTTTGCACAAGAATAATAATCAATATTTCTTCTACTATTTTTTATAGTTTTTATATAAATATCATAATTATAAATTTATTGTTATTTTCATAAAATCGTATTTCAAAAAGAGACTTTCAACATAAAATTTTAGTTTAAAAAAAATTCAGAACACTATTTAAAAAAAACAATGATAAGTCAATAAATAAATCTAAAATTATAACTTTTATAGGTAAACAGTTAAAAAAAAACTAGTGTATCTGGTCCTGACAGACAAGTACTGTGACTGCCACGATAGCAAAAGTGACAAAGAGCCTTCTACTTCCGTGGTTTTTAGTTCGTACACGTGTCGTCCACTCAAAAATTGCAATTATGATACCTTACTTCTTTTACAATTTCTGTGTGATATAATATTTGTAATTTATTATAATTTTGGGGCCAGCATAATTGATATTTTCTTGAAATATTATGACAGTACAGGTCTCTTTTAAAAAATGCCAAGTTGGGGGGTCAAGCCAGCCAGCCAATCAACGTCACAATGATGCCCTTTGACACCAACTTTTGTTTGTTGCATTGGGTGGGTTTTTATTGGGTATTTGTATGTGTACAACAACACAATGCTGCCAATCTATAGCATTGTTAAAATCAACCATCGTAATGTAATGGATTTTGATTTGCTGTCTCAAGCAAACAATTAAAAAGAGTTCACATCTTTCAGCTTCTTTTTCTCCAAACCATTTTAAGAATTTTATATCTCCCCCGTTTACTTTGTGATTTAATTTAATCTTGCAAAACTTTTAAAGGGATAAATTGTTTAAATTGAAACCACAAGCAACTGATTGCAACAAAGCCTATACTTGGACGGGATATTTTGTAAGTATCCCTAAAAAAAATTTAGTGGGTTTTTTTTTTCTGTCATGAAATTTTTACACCATATGGTGTATTTTTGTCCATACAAATTAGATTTGGTTGAAAAACTCGGTAATTACATGTCCATTACTTGCAAAGTAATGAATAAGATCAAGGGTGACATCAGTATAGTGCTGGTGGGGACACTCTAATGTTTAAAATTGAAATGAAAATTGAGTGATTACGGCATAGATATACTTATATTAGAATGATTATATTGTAATCTCGAAGGATCCAAGCATTTTTATAGTCACTTTAAGCGACCGAAGGTGTGTAATCCTAGGCAATTCCTATGTTTTTTCATCATGATCTTATTCTGAATTATTTAGAAATTCTCATTTGAGGTGATAATCGACATCTTTTATAGGGAACTATTTCCTATTTGATGTAAAAACTTTGATTGAACAAGTAAATTTTTGGTAAAAAAAAATTGTCATTTTGATTTGCCCTTTTTTCTATTCATCTGGGCGCCCCTCCCCTCCCCCTTCGAAGGTGAGGTGTTTATTCCTCAACTCGGGCAAATCGAATAGTTATTAGTGATTATACTCGACACTATTCTTTAATATTTATTTACCGACTTTATATGTCTTGTAGTAGCTTTTTTAAAATTTTGTTAGCCTTGAGACTCTTCCTTTACTAGCTTAGATGAACAAACACAAACAATTCTCAGCTGAGGTTTTATATGACTGCGACTTCTTTGTCAAGTTTTGCTTGTCCCTCTTAGGTGTTTGTCTGATTTTTTTGCATTCTCCTCTTCCTTGGGGATTCTTCTCATAATATTTTTATTCTTCTATGAAAATGGCTTATACGAGGAACATTTACAAAGAGACAGTTGGCAGAAAAGACCTAATTCATTCCGGCTTCCGAAAAATCCATAAACAAAGTCTTTTGACTTGACATATCTTTAGAAGATGATGTCTATGATCATCTCCCGGTTCTTTTTAACCCATGTGTATTCCACGTAATTGGTCTTGCCTAATGAGTTTCTCTTTGTCAATTTTTACTCCATGGTTACAAGATCAACTATTAATAAGAAGAAGGATAAAGTAGTAAACTTCAACAATAATAGTTATTGAAAAAAAATATATATGTGAGACATATCGTACGAGGGTGGTAGAGATGAGATAGCTATGTAATATGATTATATTGAATATGAGATCTAAGAGACTGTTTAATCGTATTTGTTTTTGTGATTTGTGCAAGAATGTTTTCAAGATTTGATCATTTATCTCATGAATTTGGTCTCGAGAGGTTGTTCCTTTGACAATGCTTGAATTGTGCAAGTATACATTCAAGCTATAGCTAATTTATTTCACAAAGTTGATCTCAAGCACACTTTTACCCAAGTGAGTCATGAGTCATGCTCAAACAACTTATTCATTTTTTTAGCCCTTTAAAAAGTGTATTTCGCAAAACTCGTTTCAAGTTCTAATCAAAACCCTAAAATATCCATTTATTTGGAAAATTTCCTCTCTTATCCCTCAATAGAATCACACAAACCACTACCCCCACCACAATTCCTCTCCATAGCGCCACCAACAACCCTAAAAAATACACTTACCGGTGTTTATTATACGCTGGTAAAATATAAATAAACGCCACAAAATTTACGTTTGTTATTAACATTGTCGAGAAAATTACAGACGTACAATTAAACGCCACAAAAATTAAAATGACGTTTACTAAACGCTGAAACGACGATTATTTAATCGACGACTTCCTTGTAAAATTCTGGTGATCGGAGCTATGTTATGGCCTATGAAGCACAAATACAAATACGGATACAATACGATATGAATACGGCGATATGATAAAATCTAAAAAAGTAGGATACGGGTATAATCAAGATACGATTATAATAAAATATTTTTAATATTTTTATTATTTTCAACTAACTTAATACATATATATATTTTGGTAGTTCTTTAACATATAATAAGGAGAATTAATAATTTTTTTTAATTTCAAGAAAATATATATTGTGTCGCTGTGGTATATTCACAAATTAAAGTGACTAATTAAAAGAATCAAAACTAATATTTACCTAATATTTAGAAGTAATTTTTACTAAAATTATAATGTAACAGTTTTATTTTATACTTTTTTGACATGTAATTGTAGATAATACTTAAAAAACACTCATGTGTCTTTGAAGTAATATGAATTTTTTGTTAATATATTGTATGGTATGTGAATTCGAAAAGAGATGTTAAAATTCAACTAAAAAATTATATATGTTGCTTGACTACAAAAGTATCCTTGAAGTATCATAATATTTAATTATTATCGGATACGTAGAAAGTGTATCCGATACGTATCCTCGAGTATCTTATTCGATACGGGTACGTCAATCTCAACAAAATATTCATGCTTCATAGGTTACGACATTTTTTTAAACGCCAGTAATTATAATTTATGAGCAATGATAATTAATATTTTTTATTTCATAATAAAACCTAGCTTCATTGCATTTTCACTAGAATGAGAATTTTAAATATAATTTTTTTTAGCAAAAAAAAAATTATTT